GTGTGTGTGTGTGTGTGTGGCAAGTCTTACGTTCTTTGCATTTCAGCTACTCATAAGTCTACAGTAAACATTTACCATTATAATATCCAATACCTTGCTACTAAAAGCACAACATGAGCTCTTGCCTGGGCCAAGAGAGAAGCCGACAAGCTTTGCACATTTACAAGTGGAAATGATGCTTTTAGACGCTCAAAATGCATCAGACTCTCCTCTGCCAGAATTGATCTCGTTGGCCTCAGCAGAAGCCACAGTTAATTTTAACCCCTGTTTTTCTCATTTATTCTCGTTAAGAAATATTTCCTCAGCAGTTGCATTGGACATCGCCAGAATTAAACGGCCGAACTGTTCTCATCATTATTATTTCATCTCTAAGCACAGTTGCAAGACTCTAGGAAATTGAATTATTCTAATGTTGTGGATTCCGCTTCTCCATTAAAAGTGTAACTGTTTAGCATCTCCATCGGCACACTTTAGACCCTTTAGGAGGCAGGATTCGAAACTGCTAGTCACGGCCAACTAGGACTGAGAGGGATACAATGTCCTAGAAGAAAGACCAAGATACACGGGAATCAAACTCGAGTCTTCTGCATACGATAGCGAAGCGACAAATGGCTACACCACAGACATCGGGCTTCTGTATTTACCGTTACAAACCTTTGAACAGAAAAAACAGCCACAAAAAAAAACAAAAAAAGAACAATAACAAAACATTTTTAGAACAGAAAGCATAATTTTTCAGAGACGAGCTGAGATTTTATTTTAGCCGTTTTGACAACAGTTAAGTGTCTGAGAGATATGTAACTTGAGCAGGAAGGCGGGCATGTTGTGACGGGAGAGGCGATCCAGACAGGCGTGAAAATAGACGAAAACACAACGGCACAACATGCAGTGTTAAAAATGAAGCCCTTATTGAACAGATACAATAATAATATAACAATGAAATGAAGACTCCAAGGGGGGAAACCAGACAAGTCACAATTTAAGAAAGAGGAGAAAATGGAAATCACAGTTTAAAAGCCAGTATTTCATATTGAGCAAAGAATTTATTTTACCAAAGGTAGTACAGGACAGAGCTGTGTTATCCAAAGGATCTCTTATGGAGAAGAAAGTTCAATTTTCAAAGAATGCAACAAGGGAATACATTTTTTTCAACGGTGACTTATTTGACAAAATGGTGACACGGTATAGATTTAACCCTTTTATCAACGCTATTAGGTTATTTAAGAGGCGGGAACTCTGAGTTTAACGTTTATCTCCGAAAGGACCGAGCCAAAAGGGAAATTCGTGTTAAGTGCCTTTCCCAAGAACACAACGTCGGACCGAGGTGAGACTCGAACTCCCGAACCTACAATCTCGCGATTACGGCCCGCAGTTTAACCTCTAGGTTACCAATTTTTGGGGGTTTTCCACTAGAGTTTTCAAATACCTCAATTGTCAAAAATAAAACGGGGGAGGTGGGGGGGGGAGGGCGTGAAATATGACTGCCGATCCTGAGGTGAGTGTAGGTGTCTGTCATAAAACAGAAATATTTCGCAGTTGGAAAGGACAGAAAATGTCAGTCTACAAGGGACATTATTAAAGTGAAAAAAAGAATAAACACTACGCAGTAGGAACCATATCTCGCACACTCCCACACAAATTACCACATGAGATTAAAAAGGTTATGTCTGCATTTGAGTATTTTTGAGATATTGGACCTTAAAGTCTGCGAATTGTAAACGCAAAAGCAGTTAGAACTTTATTACGTGTGTCTTTTTTTTTTATCAGAGCTGAATGGTCAGTTCGGAAACAAATAGCGAATCACCATGTAATGTGTCGCAGATAGAACTTGTACCAAACTGTAACTCGGAACAACAACAAAATGCAGACACACCCCTTTCAATATCATACTGCGAAATGTGAGGAAGCGTGGTGGAATCAGGCTCTCGTCAATTTTTGGGCATGTAGAGTTATTGGTATCGTCTTAAAGCTTGTTTACTTGTCTTTTTTTTTTGGATGAAAAGAATATCCATTTATCTTGAATACAAGTCAAGATATTTGCAAATGAAGGAGGTGGGGGTCACCTGTTTTCAGAGATAAAATTAGTGAGAAAATGGCCGCCAAAGATTAGTTATTTCCTTAGCTTAAGAGTCCGTGGCAACTGAAAATTTACATTTATTGTACCTTTAATCAACGTTTTACAGAAAAATCCACACAGAAATGAGTTCTTTAATGGGCTTGAAAGGTGTTGAACCAAAAAACAAAAATTTGATAAATATTCACAAACCTGCAGAAAAATGCAAGTTTCTTCATTTTGATTATTTTGACGAGAGCCTGATTCCATCACGCTGCCTCACAAATACTGATATAGGGGGAACTTAGGGTACGGTCATACTGAACGGATAGAGACGAATGGCGCCTTACGAAACAGGCAATAAAAAAAAAATTGAAGTGTGCGCGTCTAATCGTTCTCCGCGCTGAGCCAGATAAACAGCTCCAACCATGCGGGGAAGACGCCCTGTTTGTTTATTTTTTTCTCCGTGTTCAGAGAGCGATTTGTTTGGAAAACTTGATTTTTTGTGTGTGTTTGCTTTCCGTCCGACGCAGTTTGTCCCAGAGCGCGCAACATGGTCGTGCCCTTACGGCAGCATTCTTCCATGCGGGATGCCCGCCGGCCTTGAGTGGGTCAAAATTAGGGGTTCTGCGTGACCAGGTAGAGAAGATCGGAATGTTAGATAGATAGATAGATAGATAGATAGATAGATAGATAGATAGATAGATAGATAG